CAGGCTGTATATACCAATTAATTGTGTATTACAGCATGATTAATCAGACTAGCTGGTATGATGCATCCTAGTGTTATGATTTGGACGATTTCAGAGTCCACTTCTCTACACGTCCTTCTCGGGGTACCTCACCGAATTCCTTAGTAGTACCCAGTGCCATGGTGCCTCACATTTTTTTATTTCCACACGGAACTGGTTAATTGCCGTCCTCGAGTCAATGGACGATAAAAAAAAAAAAAAAGAATAGGCTAGTAACATTCTCACTTCCCCAGAAGTGAAGTTCCAAATGAAAACACGTGCGTAGCCTGCTACACTGCACACCAATGTACAATTTGTCTATGGTTACTGATCTTTGCGTCCTTGTTATATGACGTTTTTATTGACGTCATCAGAACATGACAGAATATTAGTGTAGTTTTTTACATTAATTTAACAGGAGCGTGAGGCTAAAATAGTAGGCCTACATATTAGTATATTTATTTGTAAGTAAACTTAAATGCATTTTCACAAGATTAAGTAGACCCACTGTCAATTTAATGATATAAATCTTATTCAGAGATTAAACTGACAGAATGCAGAAATTAATCCATCAAATCTGTTTACCAAGTTATCCATTCCTGTAAATTACCTCATCAGTCGTTGTTAGTGTGTGTGTAAATTACCTCATCAGTCGTTGTTAGTGTGTGTGTAAATTACCTCATCAGTCGTTGTTAGTGTGTGTGTGCGCGTGTGTGTGTGTGTGCGTGTGAGCCTGTATGTGTGGGTCCCAGATGCACTTTCCTGATGGCCATTATGGCCGCACATGTTTTAGGCAGCTGTGCTCGCGCATGATCTAATCCTATGGTCCACTGCATCTGCTTGATCTACCTTTCCTGTCGCTTGGCCATGACATCAATACCACGTATTTACACAGACAAACAGACAGGGTGTTGAGGTGCCGTGAACAACAATGGGTTTTGACATCTCGACCTCCACTTTACTGGAGAATGACATGTCATACCTGAGGGGCTTTTTTACTGCCCACATGACAAAACAGACAAGTGCATTTCTACCGTTGAACAGCACATGGAGACATTCTGAGGGTAGAGCAGGGTGAGTGGTGTTAAACCTCTCCTCCCTTCCTCTCAGCAGAGTCCAAATTGGTTCAATTTAGATAATCGTTATTTGAATCAGGTAGCAAACCGCTCAAACGGAACAAACACCGCTCAGGCAGCCTTCCTCCTGAGACTGGGAAAGAGAAAAATAACCTTCAGTCAGAGAGGGCTTATGTCTGAGCTAAGCATCAGACGGAACACTGACAGATAGGGCATTGTCTCTTACTGAACACCGAGCTAGTAACTGATGATGATTTATAAGTATGTCAAATGCAATGCTTTTCTAGGCACTGTGCTGATAACCAACATTGTCCCATCAAAGAATGGTGTGTGTTTCAAATTCAACTTTCAAGATGTATTAGTTGTATGTAGGGGATACATTTACCTACATTTTCAGACTGGTACCCCATGGGAATCAAACCCACAACCCTAGTTCCATGCTCTAGGTACACTATACACAGTCCTTGTCCTTCTGGACAATACAACAACAATAAGAAATAATACAAGATAAGAATATGAACATAAAGTAAATGGCTTAGTAGAATAAACATTTTAGCCTGAGTATAAATACAGGAAGGCACAATTTATAGTCCAATATTTACGTGTTTTGGGGAAGTAGGGATTGAGGGGGGCAAGTATTTAAATTGGGCAGTATTTAGCAACCTAAATAAGAGTCTGGTGTGTGTGTGTGTGTGTTTATGTGTCTGTCTGTCTGTCTGTCTGCCTTTCTCTGTCTGATGCGTGTCTGTAACAACAGATATCTGTATGGGAACCATCAAAGAGAAAACTTTGTGTTATCACTGCGCTTTCAACCATTAAAAAGCACAACAAAGTTCAAATGGGAATACAATGTCAGATATTTTGAATTAATACAACAACTTAATGTGTAATCATTGTGCTTCATCTAATAGCACAGCCAAATTACCTGTATTGGAGTTGAGATTACATTAAAAGTACATGGTGCAAGTGATCAATGCTGTTGGGAGATTCTGTGCAGATTATTAGAGCAATTGTGAAAATCTCCACAGACCTGCGACCTTTGCATGCTTTCTATGAGTACATAAGAAGACATTTATAGTTACAGGAGGCTAACCTCAAAATGTGGTCATGGATGTGTTACTCATTTTAAGGTTGAATAAAAACTGTTACATTAGTTTGTAAAATAGCCTTAACTTTAGGCTATTTACTGTATAACAAACATATTATTGAATTGTGTTTGGTTGACAACGCAACCAAATATCAACATCTATTAACCTATATAAAATTAAAATAATACTATTCTTTAACTTTTATTTTTGGTTTAGTTGGAGACGTGAATCCAACAGCGTCGTCCAGGGTAGGGGAGGGAATGGCCGGCAGGGATGTAGCTCAGTTGGTAGAGCATGGCGTTTGCAACGCCAGGATTGTGGGTTCGATTCCCACGTGGGGGCCAGTATGAAAAAAAATATATAAAATAATAATGTATGCACTCACTAACTGTAAGTCGCTCTGGATAAGAGCGTCTGCTAAATGACTAAAATGTAAATGTAACATAATTTGTTAACTTGTCGATAAGTTAATAGGCTATTTACTGTATTGCAAAAGTGATATTGCATTGTGTTTGGTTGTCAACAAATTCCAGTTTGTCTACAAATTAATAATTGCTATGCTGGATTCACATCTCCATCTCAACCAAAAGTTAAAGAATAAGACTAAATCTAATCAAATTTTAAATGCACTTTAAATACATTTTGATTTGATTTAGTCCTATTCTTTAACTTTGATTATTTTGGTTGAGATGTAGACTTGAATCCAACATATTCATGATTAACTTGAAGATTACATTTGAAATCAACCAAAGCTTGAAACCCTAGGCCTATATGTATTGTCTAATTTTAGTTGAGTCCTGGGTTGAATTGAAACAATAGCTGTTGATGACTTTGTAAATGCTATATAGGCCTAGATAGTATAATTGATGATATACACTGAATATACAAAACATGACATAGACTGACCAGGTGAATCCAGGTGAAAGCTATGATCCCTTATTGATGTCACTTGTTAAATCCACTTCAGTCAGTGTAGATTAAGGGGAGGAGACAAGTTAAAGAAGGATTTTTAAGCCTTGAGACAATTGAGACATGGATTGTTTATGTGTGCCATTCAGAGGGTGTGAATGGCACACATACAAAATATTTAAGTGCCTTTGAATGGGGTATGGTAGTAGGTACCAGGTGCACCGGTTTGTGTCAAGAACTGCAACGGTGTTGGGTTTTTCACGCTCAACAGTTTCCTGTGTGTATCAAGAACGGTCCACCACCCAAAGGACATCTAGCCAACTTGACACAACTGTGGGAAGCTTTGGAGTCAAAATGGGCCAGCATCACTATGGAACGCTTTCGACACCTCGTAGAGTCCATGCCCCAACAAATTTTAGTCTGTTCTGAGGGCAAAACGGGTGGGGGTGGGGTTCCTAATGTTTGGTATACTCATTGTGACTTATAGAGCATGGTTACATTTTATTTGCTCTGTTAAATCTACCATTTGGAATGACTTCAATAGTAACAGTGAATATATTTCGTTATTAAGAGGTTTCTCAATAATCATTCTCACGATATCACATTGGTAATAAATAACAAATATAAAAGCTGGGCTTGGTTAAAACCCTGGATGGGAGACCAAAGGGATAGCTGTAGATATATCAACTCTCCAGTAGGAGGTGCTGACCAGCATACAGTATTTTTTTAATAGTAGATATAACATTGAAGATCTGACATTGTTTCAAAAGGTACAAATTCAACGTATTTTACACAAGGTTTGTCTATGTTGAAAATTGGTTACAATGATGACAATCCTGTGGTTTAAATTTCACCCTCAAAACAACAGTTTACGTTGACTTTTTTCAAATCCAATGTACACCGAACAAATATATAAACGCAACATGTAAAGTGTTGGTCTCATGTTTCATGAGCTGAAATAAAAGAGGCAGCTTTGTTTCAGTGAACTCTGGAATGGAAAGGCATTGGAGGAGCATTTTGCTCAACAGTTTATTAACCACGCCTTCAAGCAGGTGGTTAGAGTGGCCTGGGATCTCACCAGCATCACTCTTAAAGCAAGTAGACGTTCTCCCATTGCCAAAGGAATGTGACTCTTCATGCTTTCCTGGCTCAGGAGCGGACTTCCTCTGGTTATGTGGCTCCATAGACTTCAGCACACACAATACAGACAGAGTCGATCTCGGAACTCTTGGAGAACCACTACAAGCTCAACCTCACATGGGCTGAGGCAGAGTTCATATGCTAGAACTAGGAATCTGACATTTCTGACTTGCTGATTCGTTGAACGCGGCACGTGTATAACTACAACTAGTTAGCAAGTCAGAAATGTCAGTTTCCTAGTTCCGACTAGCACGTGAACGCGGCATTCGGGTAGATAATGTCCACAATTAAATCAATAAGCTGGTCATCTGTGAAACCCCTGTCCAGCCCTTTTAGAGCAAACTCCTCCCTTGTCTTTTTCAGGATCTTTCTCAAGGCATGTTTCAGGTCTGGAACTGAAGCAGCAACATGTCCAGTGGATGGTGTCCGGGAGACAGAAATGGATCCCTGACTCAATAAACGTTTTAGTTGACCATCTACAGCTGCAGCCATCACCTTTTTGACATTCAGCACAAAAGGCATCAACGCTATTGCCTCAGCGGTTGGCGGTGTCAGAGCCTTGGCCAACAATAAGCTGTGTCTTAGCTGGTTATTCCAACCTCAGTGTGGAATTATATATAAAACACAGGAAAATCACATTTGACTGAACTGGGCCTTTAAATATGTCATCTTTTAATACAGCTTAATGTAGATATTAAGTGGATGAAACAACTAATTGAACTAAAAAAGGACACTATATAAATTCACCCAAACAACTTATTTTTTTGTCTTTTATTTTCAGTTGTAATATTCACCAGACTAAAGTTAGTCACTGAAGCTGATGAGACATTGTTTATAAATTCTTTGGCAGCTTTTTACCAAATTGTCTACATTTCAATGAGCCCTTTTAATAGTGATGGCATGACTTTCACATCAGCGTGTTCATTTTATTCTATATAAATGTACAGAAAGACAATATGCAGAAGCTCTTAGAGCTCTATTCACATTTGATAGTCAATCATGCATTAGTTATATCTAAATACACACAAAAGCATAAGAAATGTGCAACCATTTTCAGTACGGGAATCCAATATGGACTCAAATGCTATTTTTAGTTGTGTACAAGAATGACACAACCTATAATAAAATGCAACTTGAGTTTCCCATATATACAGGAAATGTGGCCAAAATATATATACACACACAATGGCAAATTATCATTTCAGTTAAGTAACCATTTTGCAATTCAGTTCAAATTTAACATTCAACTCTGCCAAATCTAATGCACTTCCTATGACAGCAGAAACAGTGATTTCTGTATGCTTGTTCCGCAGCACTTGTATCATTGCAATGCTACCACCAATAAGACTGGGAGGTGGAGGAGTGCTGGGTGTGTAACGGAGGGGGTGGTATGGTTTACTGGGTGGTGATGAGCTTGACGATCATGTGGATGATACGGGAGCCTCGAGGGCAAGTACACAGGTCCATGCTGGGGTTTCTGATCTTCTCTTCCAGGAGCTGGTCCAGCTCCCAGCGCAGCTCCTTCACCAACTCTGCCACCTGCAGGCACACACAGGAGATACTGCAATCAGGAACACAGAGCTTATTGACAAACAGCTTATTACACATTATAAATGGCCCAGTTTCCCCTGCTCTGAACACGTGAACTGACCAGGCTATAACTTGGGGCCAGGTAGCCAGGTCAGGATCCTAATCATCAAGCGTCGCCAAGCTGAGAGACGTCATTCTGAGAGTGATAACCAATCAGCTGACCTGGTGTGATGCTGCAGCGAACCGGATCCAGCCGTCGTCCAGGGAGATGACGAACTCTCCCTTCTGCAGCTCCACGTTGACCTGTCCCCCTCCAAACAGCACCAGGGGGTACACCGACACCATGCTGCAGTCTCTGATGAACACACGGCTCGTCTTCACCTTCTCATGGTACACCAGGTAGGGGCTGTCATAGTGGCGCACCTGAAACCACCACAGACACTTGACCCCAAAAAACGAACATCGTATGTATCGTGTGGTTGTTTAGTTACTGTAAAAGAGTACTGGTAATGTCTCTGTACTGTATTCATGACGTTGTGTGTTACCGTGTAGTTGACGGAGGAGGGATGTACGTGGACACAGCCGTCATTCTTGGTCATGTAGCGCAGCTCGTCTGCTTTGGGTTGCATCTTCACCGCCCCTTTACTGGTCTGCTTGAACTTCTCATGAGGAGACCTCACCTAGCACAGGGAAACAGTGGCTTAGCTCAGGTACACACATTATACAAGTATTGAGCTGTTGATCATGCTGAATGGGTAAACACTCACCTGTACTACATTGGGATACAGGGCAGCACAGAGCATGGCAGATATCAGCCTGATGTTGTCAGAGTTGAGGTTGGCCTGTGGAGGAGATAAAAAGGTGAAATTATTATTTATGAACAGATTTCATATAGCAATGCAGGATATATATAAAATTGAGATTTCTTCGATATATGTTTCTCAATAAAACATCCTACCTCGCGGCCCGTGGTCTCCATGATACCATCAGTCCCTTTGGCAGACATTCTCTCGATGACTCTGGCCTTCAGTCCCTCCTTGACAAAGCCAATGTCAGACAGCAGCTCTGTAAACTGCCTCTTTAGACTGGCTATCTCCTGCACACCACAAAGCACATCTCAATACAATACAACATGGTATTAATGCCACCTGTCAGGAGACGATGCCACAGAACAGTATCTCACCTGTAAGCCCCGGCCAGACAGGAAGTTCTCTCTGCAGTACTGAAACCCAGCCTGATTCCCGTTTTTGGCTGCACTGCACCAGCCCTGCGCAACAGCAACACACATTACATTAGACAGTCACATATCCACTGCAGATCGTCTGTATATCTACTCTGTTTTTTAGATGGTTCTACATTTTGCATTGCCACTCAGAACCTATTAATCTGTTTCTCAAGGCAAATGCAATTTTTCCCTAGCTGGTTCAGCTAACATTTCAGTATTGAGTGAGTTTTATGGCGTGTCAATATTGATGACATGGTTAGAGGATACACAGTGGAGAGGTTCAGCTCTATCCAGTATGTACAGTACAATACCTTGTATGCCTGCAGCAGGGCCAGATGGTCACTGTTGGCCAGGGCGTAATTCAGCTTCTTCTCATTGGCCTCCTCCCTCTTATCCCAAGGAGACACCTGGCCACAGGAAGAACACACCGCAGGAGAGGAGAGGAAGGAGGGGTGAGAACAGGAGAGGGGTGAGAACACAGGAGAGACTTGTGACAGAGTGAATCACAGGAGTTCATACTTCACAGTGACAATTCTTAATTATTTTCTTTTCAGTTAACGTTTCTACTCATTCCCAAGGCCATTGGTCGACTCAGAGCCGCAGACGGTAGTAAGAGGTGCCTTACGAAGGGGGATTTGAAGGCCAGGCTGGCAGCGATGGTGAGGGCAGGGTCCAGGCAGCGAAAGATTGCACCAAACAGCATGAGTTTGCCAATGCGGACGTCCACAGGCAGACAGGCCAGGTGATAGCCCAGAGGGGTGAGCTTCTGGTCGGCCGTCAGAGCCCCCAGGTCCTGCAGACGCTGCTTGGCCGCGTCCAGACTGCCCATGGCTGGGGGCTCGATGAGCCGGGAGAACACAGACTCCAACGGTCGCTCCGCAAACACATCCAGGATCTTAATCCTGGGGATGAAGACAGAGATGGAGTTGGAGAAAGGGGGCAGTTGGGAAATATAATGTTTGCATTGGTGACAACACATCATGAGTTTCTACATTGAAAATCCAGGGAAGGTTCAAATGAATGACTGTCAGTGGTTAAATAATGATCTTCATCTAGCCTATGAGAGACATGAGTAAATCACACTAATTGGTCACTTGAGAGCGCCACAGTGCTGTAGTTAGGGGACATGAATCGTGTTCTGCTCTGTTTACCTGAGGCAGAGCTGCTCCAAGGGGACTCTCTGGATCTCTGGCAGCTGCTGCTCAGCCAGCTGGTGTTGGAAACAGTGGCTGGTGAAGAGATGGAAGCAGACCCCTGAGGCCACGCGACCCGCTCGCCCTCTCCTCTGCAGGGCGTTGGCACGGGACACCCACGACTCCTCCAGGCTCTCCATGCTCTTAGAGGCATCGTAACTGAGGGGACAGACCGAGTCAGCGAAATAACACTCACATACCATCTGGTCCAATGTGTTTTTTATTTATTAGCAGCCTCATAGGCACCATGATCAAGGATTTGGTCCTCTCCTTACAACAGGTTCATATAGAAAATATATGAGTTGTACCCATTAACAGAGTTTGCACTTATCTAACATGCTCTTATTAGAATTTGACTGAAGGAAACCAGTTGAGCGTGTTGGAACACATCCCCGTCTGCAAAGACAGATGGTTTAGAGGTCAGAGGTTACAGTACCTCTTCTCCTTCATCTTGCCCGAGTCCACCACGTAGACCACGTCGTCGATGGTGACGGAGGTCTCAGCGATGTTGGTGGAGATGATGATCTTGGTGACGCCCTCTGGTGGCCGCTTGAACACAGCCTGCTGCTCCTCGTTAGACAGGGACGAGTGGAGCGGATACACCACACACCTGGGGACACACACTTTAATATATACACACACACACACACACAACTATATCCACAACAAACATAACCCACCTACAGCTGTACCACAAACACACCTGTAGAAAAACTAATCCCATCACAACCACATATAAATCATAATCTTGCAAACTCATCCAGTACAGTGGTCCATTTATTTCCTTACCTGGCTCTGTTCCGGTTGTTGAACATCCTGTTGGACTGGAGCTGCTCATACAGCGTCTTGATCTCAGCCAGGCCCGGCATGAACACCAACACAGCACCTAGACAGAGCAGGACAGGGAAGGAGATGTTGTTGTTAGTGTTAACACACGGGTACAGCATAACTTCAGGTAAAGTGTTACCTAAAGTGAAATCATATTGCTACACCTTTACTGTGCGACTATCCATTCCTAGTAATCATTCTGTCTGTAGTGCTCTCTCACCTGGAGGGTAGCTGTGGTCTCCATCCACAATATACTCCAGTACACTCTCCACCAGGTCCATGTTGATCTTATCCAGGTCCATGGCAGAGATGGTCTTCAAGACAGACTTCTTGGTGTCTTTAAACAAACAAAAACATCCTGATTAACTTTCTCCTCCCAGACAGAAAAAGTAGCAGTGCACTATATAGGGAATAGGGTGCCATTTCAGACAGTGTGGTGTACTTAGTAGAGGGGACAGGTGTACATGGCAGAGGGGACAGGTGTACATGGCAGAGGGGACAGGTGTACATGGCAGAGGGGACAGGTGTACATGGCAGAGGAGACAGGTGTACTTGGCAGAGGGGACAGGTGTACTTGGCAGAGGGGACAGGTGTACATGGCAGAGGGGACAGGTGTACAAGGCAGAGGGGACAGGTGTACAAGGCAGAGGGGACAGGTGTACAAGGCAGAGGGGACAGGTGTACAAGGCAGAGGGGACAGGTGTACAAGGCAGAGGGGACAGGTGTACAAGGCAGAGGGGACAGGTGTACAAGGCAGAGGGGACAGGAATTATAAACAGAAGCCTTACCTTTGTATCGGACTGTGAGTTCCTGCAGGCTGAGCTGCTGGTCAGGGATGGAGTCTTTAATGAAGTCTTTCTTCTGGAGGTTCATGAAGGACCACATGTCGTCTCCCAGCTGGTCCACGGGGTCTTTGGTCCCCCCTCTGCCCCCCCTGCCCCCTGATGAGGACTTGTCCTTCCCCATGCCCGAGCGCATGAACGGACTGCCATCCTCAATCACATACCTGGGATGAGAGAGTACAGGTCAAACAAACCTGAAGAACAGAAACAATTCCTTGTTTTGTTTATGGTAAAATAATTCAGGTTTGGGAGTGTGATATTTACCGGGTTTTGGCAATTGCATCTTCCAGGAAAAACTGGTCGACGGGGAAAGTGCGTCCTGGAAAACACAAGAGATCATCGTGACGTAACTGCTGACTGGTCTAACTATACACTTTGTTATTCACCTTGCCCTAAATACGCTAAGAGGCTTGAAGGATGTGTGCTGGGGTAGATGGTGTGTATCAGTACCTGCTATGTGGATGGTGTGTGCTGGGGTAGATGGTGTGTATCAGTACCTGCTATGTGGATGGTGTGTGCTGGGGTAGATGGTGTGTATCAGTACCTGCTATGTGGATGGTGTGTGCTGGGGTAGATGGTGTGTATCAGTACCTGCTATGTGGATGGTGTGTGCTGGGGTAGATGGTGTGTATCAGTACCTGGTATATGGATGGTGTGTGCTGGGGTAGATGGTGTGTATCAGTACCTGCTATGTGGATGGTGTGTGCTGGGGTAGATGGTGTGTATCAGTACCTGCTATGTGGATGGTGTGTGCTGGGGTAGATGGTGTGTATCAGTACCTGGTATATGGATGGTGTGTGCTGGGGTAGATGGTGTGTATCAGTACCTGCTATGTGGATGGTGTGTGCTGGGGTAGATGGTGTGTATCAGTACCTGCTATATGGATGGTGTGTGCTGGGGTAGATGGTGTGTATCAGTACCTGCTATGTGGATGGTGTGTGCTGGGGTAGATGGTGTGTATCAGTACCTGCTATGTGGATGGTGTGTGCTGGGGTAGATGGTGTGTATCAGTACCTGCTATGTGGATGGTGTGTGCTGGGGTAGATGGTGTGTATCAGTACCTGGTATGTGGATGGTGTTACAGTTATTGTAGTACTGGGAGAAGAGGTCAGCGTTGAGGGTGGCACTCATCAGGATGATCTTCAGGTCTGGTCTCTGGACCATCAGATCCTTCAACACCAGCAGGAGGAAGTCACTGAGGGAGAGGGATGGAGAGAGAGTGAGAGAGCGAGAAAGATTGAGACAGAGTGTTCAAAAGCATGGGGTCTACTGGCATGATAGTGAGCGAGTCTGTATGCTGTTGACTTACATGCTAATACATACTAATGAGTATCTCACAGTGTGTATGTGTGTGATTTCTCACCTCTCCTCTGTGCGCTCATGCACCTCGTCCACTATGACATGAGAGATCCCCGTGAGGTCTGCCTCCCCCTCCAGCCTCCTCAGTAGAACTCCTGTGGTGCGTCCAGCCCTGGTGCCGCAGGACGGAGGAAGTAGGGACGCGAAGGAGGGTGGCGGGGACGGACGGGGGAGGGAAGAGGAAGGCGTGTTGCCGGAGCACGGGGGCGGAAGAGCGGCGAGAGGAGGGAGGGAAGGAGGATTAGGGAGGAGTTTCTTCGGGCGGGAGGCCCTAGGCATCCCCATTTAGGGGGGCGGACGGAGTGGGAGGGGAGGAGGGAACGTACAGAGGAGGGAGAGGGGATGGGAAGAAGGAGCGAGAGTTGGGAGAGAGGGAGGGAAGGAAGGAGAGAGCGGAGGGGAGATGGCAGTACGGAGGGGACGGGAAGGAAGTGAGGCGAGGGACGGATGAGGGAGGAGGAAGGAGAGGGCGACGGATAGGAGGGAGACGAGGGAGGAAGGACGGTGAGGAGGGGGGAGGGAAGGGAGAGGAAGGAAGGTGTGAGGGGAGGGAGGAACAGGAGGAAGCGGAAGGGGGGGGGGAGGAAGGAGAGGGGAGGGCAGGGGGGAAGGCAGGCGAGCGGGGCGGAGGAAGGAGGCAGGAGGGAGAGGAGGGAGAAGGAAGGAGGAGAGGGAGAGGAAGGATCGAGGGGAGGGCAGGGGAAGTGGGAGAGCGGAGGAGAGCGCGAGGGAGAGTTGGCGGAGGGAGGGGAGGAAGGAAGAGGGAAAGATGGAAGGATAGAAGGAAAGGCATAGCGAGGAGAGAAGACGGAGGAGGGGATGGAGAGGAAGACGGAAGGAGGAGGAGAGGGGGAGGGAAGGAAGGAAAGAGAGAGGAGGAAGGGGAGGAAGGAAAGGAAGGGAGAGGGGAGGGAAGGAAGGAAAGGAGGAGGAGGAAGGAAGGAAGAGGGAGAGGGAAGGAAGGAAGGAGGGGAGAGGGAAGAGAGGAAGAGGAGGAGGGGGAGGGGGAGGGAAGGAAGGAAGTAGGGAGAGGGGGAGGGAAGGAAGGAAGTAGGGAGAGGGGGAGGGAAGGAAGGAAGTAGGGAGAGAGGGGAAGAAGGAAGTGGAGAGGGGAATACAGAGAGGGGGAGGGAAGGAGGAAGAGGGGAGAGGGAGAGGAAGGAAGTAGGGAGAGGGGGGGAGGAAGGAAGGAAGTAGGAGAGGGGAGAAGAGGAGGGGAGAGGGAGGAAGGAAGGAGTAGGGAGAGAGGGAGGGAAGTAGGGGGAGAAGAGCGAAGGAGAGAGAGTGGGAGAGGGGGGGGAGGAGGGTGGCTAGGTAGAGGGAATAGGGAGGAGGAGGAGAGTGGAGGGAGGGAAGGGAGGAGAGAGGGAGGGAAGTAGGGGGAGAAAGAGCGAGAGAGAGGAGGGGAGAGAGGGGGGGAGAGAGGGTGGTAGGTAGAGGGAATATGGGAGAGAGGGAGGGAAGGAAGTGGGAGAGAGGGAGGGGGAGTAGGGGAGAGGCGAGGAGGAGGGAGAGGAGGGGGTGAGAGAAGGTGGTAGGTAGAGGGAATAGGGAGAGAGGAGGAAGTGGGAGAGAGGGGGAGAAGGAAGTAGGGAGGGGGGAGAGGAGGGAAGGAAAGTAGGGGAGGAAGAGCAGGAGAAGGAAGGAAGTAGGGGACGAAGAGGTGAGGGAAGTAGGGGGAGAAGAAGAGGGAGAGGGGGTGGGGGGGTAGGTGGCGGGAATATGGGAGAGAGGGAGGGAATATGGGAGAGAGGGAACAAGTGTAATTCAAGTTCAACAACAGCTTTAATTAGAATGCAAGGTTATGCATGGGAGCATGTGTACAGCATTGAGTTCCACTGACCCTGACGGTCTCCAGGCGGATCTGGTAGCCCACTGAGTTACCAAGGCGTTCTGCCCGCTCCTGTGCCACCCTCTCCGCCACGGAGATGGCAGAGATACGGCGGGGCTGGGTACATATGATGTTAGCCACCTGGTTTGCAGGCCCACTCAGAGATGCATCCAGAATGAACTGAGGGATCTGGGTGGTCTTACCACACCTGTAGAAGACCACCACAAAGACACCAGATATTAACACCAAGTTAAATATAGAACAAACATAGAACACAGCAAAATGCAACATCTCTAGTAACATCTGTGGCATTCCACACAAACAATTGTCTATAACTAATTACTAGATTTTACTTTCCAGATTGATGATGCAAAGGCAAAGAAATTATGCAAATATTGTAAATGGTGGTAGAAACATTCCATAGTGGCCACAGTGTGCTGCGCTGCAGTGTACTCAGGCATGTCTCTCTGACTCACCCAGTCATGCCACTGACCACAAGCACCTGGCAGTTGTCCAGCAGGTCCAGGATGTTCTCCTTCTCATTCCAGGCAGGCAGCTTCTTTCTCTGCTGCAGCATGGAGGTGAAGCGCCTGGATGACTGGCAGAGAAAGGAACAGTAACCGAGGATTAGATGGAGCAAACAGAACAGACATTCACATATCATCATTAGGGAGAGAGCTTTTTCATGACTACATGTTTTTAGGCGTACAGTTATGGGCATGACTAGTATTGGACAGGACTGATAAATCACAAGTCTCCCATACCACCAATTGATGGAGCTAAATAGCATAATACAGGCTGTTTAAATGTCCCTCCTGTAATGTGGTAACAGCCCAGAAGGAAGTACGTTCTCTACTCTACCTGTTTTGTCCTGAACTCTCGACACAGTTTGGCGTTCTCCTGTTGCCGGCTCTCTGACCTCTCTTCATGCCTCTTCACCATCTTCTTCCTCAGGTTGACATAGCTCTCGGTCTCAGGAACAACCACTTCTTCCTCCTCCTCCTCCTCCTCCTCCTCCTCCTCCAAGTCTTCTGTGGCCTGCTGTGTGATGTGGCTGCTGGTTCTGTTGTTAGTGGGAATAGTTCTGGTGCTGTTGTTAGTTGGGGCAGGTCTGCTGTTGGCGGTGCTGTTTGTTGGGGCAGGTCTGCTGTTGGCGGTGCTGTTGTTAGTTGGGGCAGTTCTGCAGTTGTCGGTGCTGTTGTTAGTTGGGGCAGTTCTGTTGGTGTTCGTACTACTCTTGCTTTCCACGTGTGATGCCGTGTTGCTCCTCCCACTCTTGCTCTTCGTCATGGCAACAGCAGCGGGGGGTGGAGCCACTACCACAGGGGGCAGGGAGCTGTATTTATGATGGGTGACTGACAGCAGCTCCTTCATGGTGGCCTCGTCCTCGCAGCATGTGATCAGGGTGTAGACCACGGGCTCCCCCTCCTTCGCTGCAGCCAAGGCCTCCCCAAAAAGATACTCGGTGACACTCAGCCTCGCTGCGGCCCCTATTGTCTCATCGTTAGTGCTGAAGGCCACGACAGGGGCCTGGAAGGGATAGCGGTTCCCTTTGGGGAAGCGGACCTCCAGCTCGTACTCTGGAGAGGAGTAGCTGCTGAACCCAGGTTGGCTGGCTCCCACAGGGTCTTGAGGGCCCGAAGCTGTCCCCTTGGTGGGAATCTGGTGCTTATACTTGCACTTGGCTCCAAACTTGCAGCCGGCACCCTTTAGGTAGAAGCTGCAGACGCCCATAATGTGAACGGGGCTGACGGTGCGAGCGGATGCTTTCTGTTTTCCTCCCGCAATGTCGGCCAGGAAGTCGGGGTCCAAAGTGACAGTCCACACGCTGTTGGCGATGCGCTCGGTGAAGCGGTCGCCGTAGATGGCGGTGAGGGCCAGGGCCTCCTCCTGTCTCTGGGTGAGGCACTCGTCCATGGGTGCCCCCTGGAGGCCATCGGGGGAGACTGCTTTGGGGCCGTAGCGCTCGGAGAAGACCTGGAGGAGCAGCTGTTCCATGGTGGCTCCCACCTCCCCAACACCTGTCTCCAGGGCCTGCTTGCTGCGCTCCCGGTCGAAACCATACCTACACACAACGCAGAGAGAGGGGGGTTAGAAATGACACATCAAGACAAAGCACATGACACATTCATCAAAACGACTGGAAGCAACCCCCTTCCTAAACAATTTAAACGTGTCACTAAATATCCCATCCTGACATCATTAGAGCTGAGGTGGGTACAGACGGTTAAGTCTGAATCTAAGTGCTATTGATACCTGCAGAGCTTTCCTATGGCAAACAGTCCTATGACTGGCTCGGGAGTGGGCCGCCGTTCATCCTCAGAGTCAGGATCATAGACGGGGCTCTCTGCACTCTCAACAGGCTCATCATGGGTGTTCCAGAACTGCCCTTCTGCCCGGTAATCCAGCTCATCATACTCCTCCTCTTCATCGTACTCCTCTTCTTCACTGAGAAAGGACAGGTGGGTTAAGATCATGTGATGTTATTAGTCCGTTCAGGTCAAGGTGAGTGACGCCTGATACATCCCAGTGCAACTAAACAAATCTCTGCAGAGAAGAAAACACCATCCCTGAACACAAACCAATTATTCTAATATTATACAGTCCCCCAGTGTTCTAAAGGCACCCCAGTGTTCTGAAGGCAGCCCAGTGTTCTGAAGGCAGCCCAGTGTTCTGAAGGCAGCCCAGTGTTCTGAAGGCAGCCCAGTGTTCTGAAGGCACCCCAGTGTTCTGAAGGCACCCCAGTGTTCTGAAGGCACCCCAGTGTTCTGAAGGCACCCCAGTGTTCTGAAGGCACCCCAGTATACAGTCTCTCACAGTATGTTTTGAGAACACTCACTCATAGGGCTCGTCGTCGTAGTCCTGGGTCTGCAGCTCTCTCAGCAGCTCTTTCACCTGCTCCTGGTTCTCATTGGTCATGAAGATCTTCTGCATGGGCATGTTGCCCATCATCTCAGGCCTGAGGCGAGGCCTGTCTTCATCCAGCAGTCTAGGCCGAGGTCTCTCACTAATTAGGGACTTGGGTAAACCCCTACCATTAACCCTTCCCATACCCCTATCTCCGCCACCTCTAGCCCTCCCTCCACTAGTTCCCCCACCCCTTCCTCCTCTACCTCTGCTGCCACCCCGGCCGCCACCACCGCTGCCCCGGCTGCCCCCACCCCTTCCTCTGCCTGAGGTGGGCCTGTGGAGAGAGAAAGAGAGATGAGAGAAATAAGGTAATTATTCAGGCTTATTCCACATTTCAAAGGATCAGAGCAAGCATGACTACTCTAGTAGCTAACTAATTATCTTAAGACGAATCCTCTGGATAAGAGTGTTGGCTAAATGCCTAAAATGTAATTATACTGTACCTGGTTGAGCGACTGGGTCCAAAATCGAGGCTGAAATCGTCACCGTCATCCCAGCCACCACTAGCTGCCTTTCCTCCTCCACCCCCACCCCCTCCCCTCCCCCTCCTCCACCTCCACCCCCACCTCTTCCTCTTCCTCTCCCTCCTCCTCGGGGCTTGTTAAATCGCCCTCCACCTCTGTTGGGCTGCCCCCTCCTTCTTCCACTCATTTCACAACTCTTTCTGTAATCAAAAGTACAATCACACCTGAAGAGATCTACAGAAGCAGACAAATCAAAAGAGGTGCATTATTAATACTGTATTGTCAACCCAAGCATCTAGAGTTAAAATGTGTCTATTTCATGAATAAGGTCTACAGCAAAACTAAGTGAAGAGTCACCACACATACCTTCAATGCAATGGCATTTGACACCTGCTTCTGACCTGTGCTTAACGAGAGGCAGATACAGTAGTCGACCTGTATAGAGAGAGATGCAGTCTAAAACCCGATGTAGTTTGCAACGTGCCTTTGACTATTCAACAGCACAACACACTGCCAGGCAACAATGTGTTTATGCGCCGGACATCCTTCTTGCATTACTGTAGCACTCGGTTGTTTTGCAGTTGCGCACTTCACTTCCTACTCTGTGTTTCAGTTTTCAGTTCAGATGACACATACGGCGCCGGTGGCCATAATTATACAAGGCACAGTGACGGTGCCTAGAACGGGGGAACAGGCTTGCTAAAGTTGTTCTTTCTGGCGGACAAAACACGTTTACATCGTGTTTAGTTCATAACACGCCATGGGTTGTTGGCAAACTAGATCATTGACCAGAATGACTCAACAGTACACTATGACAGCCAGCTAGGACTGAAGATGGCTAGCCAGTAGCCATGCTAGTTACCGTCAACTAGCTAAATAGTTAGCCTAGCTACCGGTAGATCGGGAGTCACATTGTTTCTTTCTTTATGGGCAAGAGGACATTTAGTGAAAACTTTTGCTTTTTTTAAAACGTACTATCTAAGAACGTTCGAGAAAAAAACACATAGAGACAAATAACAGGTTATTTAGCCAGAGACCGAAGAACATGTACAAACCTGACACAAAGCTGATCCGTCCACCGGCAAATTCAGCTTCTCTCTCATTGGTTAATGAATCCGAGGTCAACGTTTCTTTTCCGGTGAAGGTTGTATAAGGTTAGAGTTGCCATGGTAATATAATGTTTAGGGAAGTGCAGAGTGCAACAAAATCAGCTGGACCAGCACGAAAAAATAGAATGATATAGTCATGTTTGAACTAGCAACACATCCGAAATGTATAGACTGGCTTGACAGCCAGCTAAAGTTAGCAAGCCAGCTAATGACTCAACATTAAGTAAATTGTCAAAGCATCACAAAAATGTCAGGTGAGTTGCTAGTCAAGTAAAACTCCACGGTGTACTTGACGGTCACTTGATGTGAAGTGCAACGTTGAGTTTTACTGGCTAGTTAGCTATCTAGCTACCACAGGAGGTTGTTGGCACCTTAAATGGGGAGGATGGGATCGTGGTAATGGCTGGAGAAGAATAAGTGGAACGGTATCAAATACATCAAACACATGGTTTGATGCCATTTATTCACTCTGTTCCTCATAATGTCATTATTAATGAAGTGTTTGCCTGCAGAGAATAAAAAGGAAAGGTCACAGAAAGCAAAGGTACAGGCAGAGACCAGACTTCACATTTAAAAAATGTCAGAGACCATCCTCTTGTTTTTTTTTGGTGTGCAAATATTGTACATTTTTGTGCTTTAGGCTAACTATTATCGTATGTATAAGCTTATGTCTTGAACTCCACTCACATATTTCATTTCATAGGAACGAAGTTTGAAAGTATCCTATATTTTCCAGAATGGTGACAGATATGGTAAGTGCTCATATCATATTGACACAGTAACATTAGATTATTGATTCTAACTGCTGTTATAACCATGTTATAACCAGCTACATTGTGGGCTGTCATCACCAGAAGGTGAGTGCTGCAGGTCCACAGAGGGATTCGTGGTGAGGAGTGGCATGGGCAAACATGGTTTCAGGATGGGTGCTCTGCTGTGAGTGACAGTACTCCCTCTATTCCAGATGAATGGCAGAGGGACTCTGGAGCATCCCTCTGGGGCAATGTATGAAGGGGACTTTAAAGACAACATGTACCACGGCACTGGGACATACAGATACCCTGATGGGACCAAATATTGTGGCAGCTTCAGCAAGAACTGGTGAACCCATGACTTTAGCATGTTCACTTTTTACTGTCATAGTTAGATATAGGCTAGTAGTGAATGTTAGGCGAGGCCTATGGCTAATTATGGCTCTATTTGTTGTTTTTGTATAGGTTGGAGGGTGACGGGAAGTTCACAGATTCTCAGGGACTTGTTTGGAGGCATCCACAACAAGGCAGCTCCTGGCTTGAAACTTAAACTCAACATGTAACCCATGACATGATGTGAGATAACATAACTCTAATTCATCATTCATGTCTTATATTTTTATGGGCATTTATTGAATGTACATAAAACATATTCAAAATAACAAAATCAGACTCCAGTCAGAGGGAGATTTTAAAGGCACCTAATAAAACGGCACATACAATGGCCTTGTTCTTCCCATAAAACTCCTGCAATGAGTTTCTTCATGGTCTCTTCAAGATTTCTGCCTGTAGCAAAGACTGTGAAGTAGTCAGTGAGTGTATGACAGTGTGATAAATGCCTCATGGCACCATGCAATGAATGAGTCATTGCTCTTGCCTTGAGTCACACAGTCAAAAGTCCTCAGTAGAGGTGCGGAAACACAGTCAGTGTGTCTGTGTAAGCCTCAGTTAACCTATGCTACAGTATATAGAGCTTTTTCCACTACTGAAAAGTTGATTTGCAATCTTTTAAAGATGCACTATGCAGAAATCGCTCCGCCATTTCCTGGTTGCTAAAATTCAAATAGTTCGCCTAATTTCAGTTTATGTGACAAAACAAGCAGTCATTGTGTAGAGAATCATTGTACCATCGAAACCGCTGTGAAATATATTTTCCATAACCAAAAATATTGTATTTTCAGCTGTTTGAAGCTGATGTACAACACCGAAAGTAAAAGATGCAAAAACTAAACTTAAGAACGGGAAGCATAGAAATAGTGCACACAGAACAGATGTACCACTTCTCAGACTTGCTTTTAATGCGAATGACAGATCTATAACACACATTTCTATGTGCATTTGGTCAAGTCGCCCAAAAAGTTACATATTGCAGCTTTAACTGTTTAATCAGCATAGTAATCTAGATCAGTGGAGGAATCAATCAGTGAATGTTCTGTTTCTGGAATGCCAACAATAATTTATTTTTACTCCCACCATTTACCATGACACAGTAAAGTGTGTGGTAGAATGTATGCCATGTATATAGTGTCTATGCTTAATGTCTGTATCTGGTGTTAACTTTGTTTGCCAAATTCAGTTTTGTGACTAATTTCTCAATAAGACGTGTGTTGGTTATGTCTATAATTGTCTTCAGTAAATCATCAAACATCTGCTGAGAGAGCATAGAGAACTTTGTTTCTTTTTTATTTTGGAGTTGTGTATTTTGATGAGGAATTCCTTTTAAATTGTTTACCCCTCTGACAAAACAAGCAGAGGTCAGAGCAGCACTGCCCCTTGTCAATTTGCTGTTCCAGGCTATAGCCTAATGATATAAGGCAGGCTGGCCCTTTCTCAGAGAAAGAGGACTGGTCATGACTTCGCCTACGCTTTAGTTCACAGATGTTGGTCCTTCCCCCTTTCACCCACTCCAACCCCAAGCTAGCTTGGAGTGCCTGGGTCTGTTGATATGGGTGTGGAGGGGAGGGCTGGGGGTGGTTTATGGTTGGAGGGGTGGGGGGGTGGGGGGGTAGCATGGCACATGTACTGCATCACCCATCCATCGTATCAGATCGGAGGAAAACATGCCCATACCTCCATACGCTTATCAGGGTGAGCGAGAACAGCACTCCACAAACACACAAAGAATGAGAACATTGTTCACGGGAAGGCCTTGATTTGTGGGAATAGTGTGACCTTCATTGAAACACACATCTCTTGTTGAGTGTCTGAACTAGCTTTTCATCCCCAGTGGTCCTGTGCTGCAGCCTTCCAAGCACAAGGCAATAACTTGTGACACTGGTAATAAGGCTATGTTACATGAGGAGGGGCAACACACACAACTTCCTGTTTTCTTGGAAAACACCCAGCTAGCACATTTGGTTCCTTGTAAGTTGTGGGAACGTATGTTTTTGGTTTCACATTGGTTGTGGGAACAAAGCCATACGTTTCCTGACCGGTAAAACAACTTTTTTTTAACGTTCTGATAACAGAAATGAAAATTTAGCCTGTCTGGGAACGTTTATTTTTAGGTTGCAGTGAGGTTTTGAGAACATTTTCCTCTGGTTCCTTGAAAGCTTTCCTGGGAGGTTTTATTAACGCTCTGAGAATGGAAATTAGGAGGCTGATGAAATTTGGCTTGGCACCTAAAACCCTCACAAACTTTTACAGATGCACAATTGAGAGCATCCTGTCAGGCTGTATCACCGCCTGGTACGGCAATTGCACCGCCCGCAACCGCAGGGCTCTCCAGAGGGTGGTGCAGTCTGCCCAACGTGTCACCGGGGGCAAACTACCTGCCCTCCAGGACACCTACAGCACCCGATGTCACAGGAAGGCAA